GATAACTAACAGCGGTTTATTTAATTTATAGCTTTTATTCATAATTCCTAGAAATACAATTTAAACAATGATACGTATTACGCTCAGACCATAAAAGTGTTGCATAGTTTCTTTCTTTAAAATTCTGAAACCTAATTTATAAATGTTTTAACTGAAGTGTAAATACTTGGTTAGTTATTGACATAGAATAAGTTTATAAGGAATTTTCATTCATTTCAGCCTATCAAAATCCACTGAACATAGGCATTCCTATAAGGTTGATATTTGTCAAAGTTTGCTTTATTAATATATTAGGAAAATGCTGCTGCCCATAGTTCAGTGCTGCTCTTGGTTTATTTCCGTCTGGTGCCTCGTATAATACCTGTGGCATGATATGGGGTAGTGGTATTCTTATACCGTCACTTCTCTGTGTTATAATAAATTATGCATTCCATTGACTTTCGAAAGTGTATTCAAGCAGAGGTTTGATTATCTTTGTAATCTAAATTTTTATGATACTTAAAGCGTAAAAATAATATATTATAAATTTTTATTATACAATCCCCTCCCTATATTTATAAATTAACCATATTCATATAGTAGGTACAAGTACAACAAAAGTGGTAAAATTAAACATTTTGTACAACCGACTTCAGTATAAATAACATAAGAACTTCATCGATGTAGGTTAAGTAAATTAAAAACGCATTATTAAGGATAACTCAAAAACTACTGGTCATATCTTGAACAATAATATATATAATATATTATATGGGGACCATAAGAGAAGCATCAGCTTTCAAATAAAAAAAGTCATCATAATCGGTTCACCTAGAAAAAACTACTGAGGAGTACTCACAAAAAATACAGTCTAATTGAGAACCTCCTCCTTTTTCTTGAAGTCGGTTGAAAACCTCAAATAAAATATTAATGAATTTATTTGGCAGTTTAAAATATTAAGTTCACACTAAAACTTCAATGACCTTTTAAAAATTCATTTACATTTTCATATAAACAAAACTGTTGGTAAGAGGCTGGAGTACGCCTAAATGTTCTTATTAAATCACAAGATACTCCATTAAAGCTTCATGTTGTCACGTAAAACAATGGACATTCGCATGATATGTTATCGCAATTCACTGTGCTCTCCGCACCTAATGATGTTATCTAACACTCTTTATACCGAGTAATGGTGTATTGGATTGCGTACTAAGGTTAATGTTTAATTTATGTTAATTAATTCAAAACGTGAAAGCACATAAAATGAAATAATTGCAATTAAATGATTCCTTACATCATATTTTAATTGATAACTGATATTTGGTGAGAAATTGAATTTAATAATTATATTTCAACTTAACATAGCCGAAAATTACAGGTCAGTAGTACATGTAAGTTAATTGGTTGATTACATTATATTTCCACTTGCATCGTCCAAATAAATATGGCGAATAAAATGTCAAGTGCCTATCGTATAATACGATTAATTTTGTTAAATATTAGTTGAAGTTATTAACCGCATGGTATAATAAGCTATGAAATGTGAATAGAACAAATGAATTGTTTTTTCTGGCCTTAAATCCTAACCATCGAAGTCAATTATCCAAAAACAGTATAAGTGTTTGGATATACTACCTATTGCGATTTTCTTCTGCTTCCTGGATCCACCTCTATTCTATCAATTTTAAAACTTAGAATTGAAAAAAATTGTGGTGGATCGCCTATATAAATTCTGAAAACATCAAAGTCATTAAGAATATAACTTTAAATATTCTTTGATGCATCTGTTAGTGATCGTGTAACTTTTAAACGACTTGACCGATTGAAGTATACAAGTATTCACTCTATTCAGTATTTCTTGTCGAAATGATGGTTCATAAGTATGCTGAGATACGACAGGTTATATGGTAAGGTTATTAATCTATATTTATGGAACAAAATCATATAATTATATAATTATCTTAGAATCACCTGTGCATCATGATTATGGATGAAAGGAGTCTGTTGATTTAAAGACAAAAAAGAAAATTACAAAATCTGAACTCGATCGGAATAGGTGGCGCTGTGGTCAAGTACTTAATACATTTTATATGTACACCGTAAAAAATCTAAAGTGAAAATTATTGAGCCACCTACCGGAAAAGATACTACCGGACTAGCTAGCTGTGTGTAAAGCCGTGATTAATGTCTTTTGACTAATTCCAAAATCTATTTATCGAGCCAGACAAATTGTAAAGTCTCAAGTGAAGCTAATCATTTATCCGCATCTATAAGTATCCGTAGGATGCAACGATGGAGAGATGGGGACAACCGCAACGTATCCGGACCGGAAAACAAGCAATTGCGATTTTGCACTGTTATTGGCTAGCTTTTACCCGTGTAGTGGCGATCTAAGTATATCCACTACCCCATATCTTCCCATGGGTGTCATGGTTCCATCGACGTACAGAAAGTAAAACAAGTTTTTACGCGGTAGAGTTACGCTGTAGGGTGTTATGACTGCAGACTGCAGTCCAAATGGGTACGCTCGACCAGAGAAGGACTATGCTTGCACAGAATGCTAGCGTAGAGACTCCGAATTTCTACAATCATTTACTGATAGTCTCGTCTAGTATCTTAGTCCTCAGGGCTATATGTTCATACATAGATGTATGTATCTATAGGTCTTAGCTCTAATAGACTGCGTGCTTATCTTTAAAAAAAAAGGAACAACCTCGAGCAGAAATAAGAATGCCAGCTGCGACAGTGCAGCCTAACTATAATCATATGTTCTAGAAATATTTTTATTCTTTAATACGCAATTTTTTTATAGAATAAGGGGGACAAACAAGCACACAGTCCACCTGATACTGTGGCCCATAGACATCTACATTTATCTTCAATTAATAATCAAAATGCAGATGCGTTGCCAGCCCTGAGGACTGAGATGGAATACCTCGTTTCCAGTAAAAAAGGGTCTCCGATTCTCTACACTGACCATACAAAACACTTCAGCATTAAACTGCTATTTTACGCTGGTATTCTGTGAGAGCGTGGTCCTTCCCCGGTCGAGCAGACCCATTCGTGCTGCAACCACAATATAGCTATAGCATGGCTCTACCATGTAAAAATTCAATTTTCTATTGTCAGCTAAAAGATTTAGTGATCATATTTTTGCAATTTTCAACAAAGTACTAAATAACTATATAATAAAACTTTAACATCGGTGTACACGATTAAACAACCTTCTCGCATTTTAAAATAGAGTATAAAAATACCTTCAAATTATGAACATTTAAAAAGGTATGCATGTTGTACTAAGTATGTTTGAAACAAATTTAACGGAGGAGACGCAAACAATGCGTTTTCCCACAACGAAGTTAATTAGTTTGTCGGCTCAAAAGCGACGCAGCCCGCGGTAATGCCCAGGTCACGCTTTGCTACTCAGTTACACATTATTGGAACGCCCTCTTTAACAACTTACGCTGTAGAGTTAACAAAACAATGCCCGCAATTTACTTTAAGTCCTTTAAAACATTCACGACCAAATTTTCATAATAGTAAGCCCAGTTTCAATTAGCCATCGTATAGAATGTCATATTAAAGAAACTGCCTAGTTGGTCTAGTAGTCGTTAACAATACCTCTGATCACGAAGTCCTACATTAGAATCACCGGTCGGGAAAAATTAGTAATTTGATTTTTATGTCAAGACGTTATCAGGAAGTTGGCAATGTTTCACCCTAGTGCAGGGATGGCGAACCAATGACACGCGACACAATATCTTGGGCAGCAATCACAAAGCTCACTATGAAGCATTATATTACGAAAGAACGCGAGTAATCAAGTGCGCTCGTTTGTTATTGTAGTTACATCGTAGAATACTATTGCTAAGGACGCATAGTTCGTTTTATCATCATCATTACAGCTCTTCACAAGTCCACGCTTCCTCCAAGGAATGCATAGCTCTTTATTTAAAATTTTATTTGTGTAATATTTATGATTTTATGACCCCAATATACTAAATTATTTTTCATCTAATCATCAACAACAGGAGTCACAGTAATGTTATTTAAATTTGAATTACGCGTATAATTCATACATTGCAAAATGTATTTTGCAATGTGTGATAATAATTGTCTCAACTCAAAACTCTTTAGTTTTTGTAGTAAGAGTTTTGAGTTGATAGTGTTTAGTATTATTATTTTCTCAATAATTACGAGTCAAAATTATTTTCCGGCACGTCTATGACCTTATAAAACTTCAGAAAAATGGCACGTTGATACATAAAGGTTCGCAACCCCTGCCCTAGTGCATCGGAAAGCACGTAAAGCCGTTGGTCTGCCGCCTGATCTCTCTCCTGTCTTGTCGGAATACCGTTCCACTGAGCTATGAAAGTGAGAGAATAGAGTCTTCACCTGTGCTCGCATTTGTGCACTATAATCCCGTTATACGTAGATATTTAGTCCCTTTTGAGACTGATTGCAATAGCCAAAATTTGGTTTTGAAGACAATATAATAAAAACATGTTTTGTGAAAGAAAATGTCTTATAACTTTTACATGCGAAGGACATGTTAAAAGGATTTAAGCACATTTACAAATACAAATATTTTTTCCAAAATAAATAGTAATGATAAGAAAACTGAAATATTGTCATTTAGTCACGGCGTAAAAGAATCTACTATCCCATATAATATCAACCCGTAGATGATGTAAGAAGCGACAGAGCGATATTAAAATAGAGGATTGGTAACAGCATCGTCCTGATAACAGCTTAAAATAATTAAAAAAATGCGGTAGTTAAACCGCCTGCCAAGCGTGGCATCGTGGCGCATGTGGCAAATATCTGTGGAAAATATCCACGGCACACGTGGCAAATATTCCCCTAAGAGACGATCTATGGAAGGGGCCTACAATCAGCATTGGATTTTTGATAGCCTATAATGATACTAAAATTAAACTGAGCTTTAAAATACACTAGAGTTAATCTTTCATATTTTTCGTTTCAGATTTAGTTTAAGTACAATGGGTAGCACCAACACCATGCTTCGTTTGACAACGTTTTACAGTGAGTATTATTGTAATTATATTTTTCAATCGACGTCAGTAGCTACGGTAACTTGCGCCGGGTACACCGCGGTCTCTTTTCCTGATTAGATCTGATCTTTACAAGTGTGTGGACTGTTGTCGCCTGGATACAAAAACAGCGGACATTGGCAAATTATTAATCAAATTATAAAATTATAAATCTAAAACTTAGGGTCTGACTCATGATAGCAATACGTAAGATGGGTTCAAGCACGCGAAATCCTATCAAATAAATAGAGATGATCAATCGCGATTTTGAAAATCTTTACGATAACATATGTGTACAATTGTAAATGTTTGTTGCCAATTATCATGTTTAAAATTGTGTGTGTACTTATAAATATTATGTTGATAGGGGTAAAATAGCTATAGAGTAACATACAGTTATCGAGTGGTTTACAAGCAAACCCAGTGTTGGGCGACACCTCCTAAATGGAGCGACGACCTGAAGAAACACGCAGGCAGTCGGTGGATGTAGATGGCTAAGGACCGTACTATGTGGCAACCTATGGGGAAGGCCTATGTTTAGTTGTAATATAATTGAGTAGATTAGTGGTGGCAGTTTTACGTGATAGAGCTATGCTGCAGCTATAATATAGTTGCAACACGAATGGTTCGGCTCGACCGGGAAAGGGCTACATTCTCACTAAACACCGACGTAAATTAGCAGTTTAACGCTGCTGTTTTTCGTATGGTGAATGTAGATCCGTAGATTCGTTAACTAGAAATGAGGCATTCGATTTTCTTCAGGGGTGCATTTTGACTTAATGAGAATAGATGTAGGTGTGTATGGACTTTTCAATCACTTATTCTATAAAAAAGTGAATTTGTAATAATCACTAGTTAAAAGTTGAAGTTATATCCGTATATAACGTTCCACTGCTGGGTGCAGGCCTCCTCACATTTCACAGATGGTTTTAGGGCAAGGAAATGTCCGCCGCGCCGCCCCAATTCATGTTAACGAGCTACACATGTCTTCAAAAAATTTTTGTTCTTATTTCTCAAACATACAACAGGTTTCCTCATGATGTTTTCCTTCTGTCGAGAAAATGGTAAATCAGCACTTAAAATTGCTGATTTACAATTTCAGAGCCGACGGGAATCGAACCCGGATTACTCGCGTATTGTGAAATTTACAGCGAGCACTTAGCCACAGCTCTTAATCCGTAGTAGTAGTTTGTAAATCAAATTTAGATATTGAATTAACTTGGCAAAGGTTATAATTCATAATTTGTTATATAGTTAGTGAGCAAAGACCTATAGAAATAAATAATAAAATAAAAAACATGGCTATTTCTAACATGTCAAGAACTTGCAACGAAACAACTAAATACAATTTCGCAAAATATTATCTTCATAATGATTCCTTTACATAAGCCCACAATTTTACAAACACAATCATTTATTTTAATGTTAGATAACTACACTATTTATGCTTAAGTTATTATTTAATATCCACTCATCACGATAACAAATAGCATATTATTCCAGTAACGGAATAACATAATAGAGCCGTAGCAGCCCAGGGGCTAAGCGTATGCGAGCAATTATGGTTCGGTCACGTCTCTACAGTGAAAGAAAACATCATGAGAAAACATGCATATCTAAGAAATAAAGTAAAAAAAACTATTTCGAAGATTTGTGAATTGTGCTAACACGCATTGATTGGGGCAGCGACGTAGATATTACCTTACCCTAAAAATCTTCTCAGAAATGATGAGAGGTCTGTCTTCAGGAGTAGAACGTTTACGGGATGACACAGTAATTAGATTTCTATTTTAAACGGTTTACATTTCCATAATTTAAACATATATACACAACACTCACGCCCGTCACCCAGAGGGATAAGCAGAGACTACAGACTTATATTTGACACGATCCTGACACACCTCTCTCGCTTCCTTTACGTCCATATACCTACGCATACATGCTCGACGATTAGGAGTACGCTTAATCTAGCCCATTTTCATTATATCGCCAGGTTGGTTGATTAACTATCGCCCAGAGTGTCCCTTTACGACTCTTTCTTAATACCAAATATTAAAAATTTTACTGCCTAGGAGTTCAACTAGGTAAGAAAAACCCTCATTACCATGTTTGCCAACCAAGCAGCAGTGCATTCATACACTGTTGTTTTCGTCTACATTATAATATATTTGTTACTTTCAGCTGGCATCGCAATACTCGCATTACATCAGTCCTCAGAGTGGATATCATATCTGCAGTTTTTTTTTAATTTGAAGTTTGTTGATGATGTGATGTTCCTCAACTGCAGTAGCCACTTACCATCAAGTTGACTGTTAACGTGGTTTTCACTATAGTGTATATTATCCTAACTCACGACAGATCTATATATATAAACGTTTACTTGATAACGGTAGAGGACATCATTATCATCACTTATCCTGGCATTCATTAATCCGATATAACTAATTTCAATAACTCTTCAGTGACAACGAACGTCCTGGACGTTTACTTATTACCTAGGCTGCAGTAAAAGTATCGGGAATGGAATATTTCCACTGTTCCTTTCATATTAAAATCTTTTTAATTAAAAACTCCTTGGTTTTAAAAATCGAATACCATTTATTTATTTAAAAAAAAGATTCTCGGTCTTGTCACAAGGTTTTGTCAAACTTGTTTAGTCGTTGAGAAAATGGAATTGACTCGAGAAAATTCAAGAGCGATGATTTATTATGACTTTCGAAGTGATTTAACACAAAAATAGTGTGTTAACCGGATGATTTCTGCATTTGGTGATAAAGCCCCATCCAAAACCACAATTTATCGCTTGTTTGCTGAATTTCAAAGTGGACGTGTCAAGCTCAGTAATGATCCCCGTCAAGGTCGTCCAAAAACTGCAGTCACCCAAGAAAACGTTGATGGTGTGCGTAAGCTGATTGAGGAAGATCGACATGTGATATACCGCGAAGTTCAGGCAACTTTAGACATTGGCATGAGTCAAATAATCTTGCATGAACGATTAGGTGTAAAAAAATTGTTTTCCCGATAGATACCGCATTCGCTCTGTGAAGAGCAAAAAAGCGGCTCGCGTTACTTGGTGCGTCAGAACTCTCGAAAGATTCCACACAGGATCCTCAAATGCTGTATACAACATCGTATCAGGTGACGAATCCTGTATATACGCGTACGAACTCGAAACAAAAAACCAGTCACGTGTTTGGGTGTACGAAAATGAGTTAAAGCCAACAAAAATTGTTCGTTCACGGAGTGTTGCAAAAAAAATGGTGGCCACGTTTGTCTTCAAAACCGGCCATGTTACGACTGTCCTCTTGAGGACAAAGAACGGTTAATGCAGAATGGTATGCTAGCATTTGTTTGCCACAGGTCGTTTCTGAACTCCGTAAAGAGAACTGCAACTACCGCATCATCCTCCATCACGTCAATGCGAGTTCTCACACCGCAGATAGAACAAAAGAGTTTTTAGAGCAAGAAAACATAGAATTATTAGACCATCCGCCGTACAGCCCCGACCTAAGCAGTAACGATTTCTATACTTTCCCTAAAATAAAGAATAAATTGCGTGGACAGAGATTTTCATCACCTGAAGAAGCTGTGGACGCCTACAAAACGGCCATTTTGGAGACCCCAACTTCCGAATGGAATGGTTGCTTCAATGATTGGTTCCATCGTATGGAAAAATGTGTCAAATTTCGCGGAGAATACTTCGAAAAGCAATAAATACATTTTTAAATGGTAATGTTGTGCCACTTCCTTGATTCCCGAAATTTTCAGTTCCGCCCTCGTATCAAGGGGGAAACGGAGAAGAACGATTGCAAGATCGTCATATAGCGGCATGTCGAGAGTAGAGCTTTCCCACACGCTCGCGCGTTGTAAGGCGTGCCATAATATCAGTGGTACAATAAAATTTAAATTGAATTTTGATTTTCCACCCCAGAACATAATTTGCACCAACGTAACTAAATTCTAATTAAAATAAAATGAAATTAATTTAGACTCTTCTTATCCTAATGCTTTGCTTTATTTCATTTATTTTTTGATCCGATACAATAATTTAAAAAAGCGAACGCACATGCCTAGCACTTTAGTTCGTTTGTCCGTTGAAAAATTAGTTTTCACATAGTTTGATCTCAAGCCCACAGGTTTATATGCGTGTTCATTGTCTATATGCATCCATTAACTATTAAATACCACCTACTGTTCACCGTCAAAGTGATTTCGAAACTTATTGTGCACTTGCTATGTGAGAGCTACAAAATGGCTTCGTGCAAAATGTCAACTTGTGCAGGAAAATTGACAAGGACGCATTAATTTGTCAGTTTACGGCGGGAAATATGGTTTCTTGCTTTACAAAAGTATAATACGCTGGCAATGATGCAAGTAGGATTAAGTTAAAAGCAATCACAGAAGCGCATGCTGTTTAGAGCCGAATAGACACACACAAAATCGTTTGATACGTTTATTTATATTTTTACCATAGATTATAAAATTTGTCTTACATATCCTGTTCAAATCTCAACTATTTCAAGGCGTTTATTTTGCGCGTAATATATTTCGTATCGTAAGATAAAGAAACATATCGTGACCAATTTAAGACAAATCTGTAAACACAGGCATCGTTCTATAGCACGTTACCCAATCCAGCTGCCGATGAATGGTGCATCATTACATGCACTGACAAATACGTCGACTCATTGCACTCAACAAGATTTGCATGCACAAGTTCTTAATGACGGATAGGTGCTTGGTAATTGCGAATTGAAATTTTATGAGTTCCTAGGTACGTTTAGCAAATTATTGCATATAGCTTTATAAGACTTAACATGACCCATGCTAAAGAAGAAACACTGTAAATCAAAGTTATAGCAAAAATTATTTGAACACGTGAAAATCACAAAAACCAGTCACAAAAGTCTACAAAAAATTATTATGCTATGTATTTTGAAATATCAGTACGGTTGTAAATATAAAACCTCCGGATACTTAAGATAAGTAAAT